GACATCCCACAGCCCAGGGGACACCGGGGACATCCCAGGGATACCCCAGGGGACACCGGGGACATCCCACAGCCCAGGGGACACCGGGGACATCCCAGGGATACCCCAGGGGACACCGGGGACATCCCACAGCCCAGGGGACACCGGGGACACCCCAGGGATACCCCAGGGGACACCGGGGACATCCCACAGCCCAGGGGACACCGGGGACATCCCAGGGATACCCCAGGGGACACCGGGGACATCCCACAGCCCAGGGGACACCGGGGACATCCCAGGGACACCCCAGGGGACACTGGGGACATCCCAGGGGACACCGAGGACATCCCAGGGGACACTGGGGACATCCCACAGCCCAGGGGACACCAGGGACATCTCAGGGGACAGCCTGGGGACACCGGGGACATCCCGGGGACACTGGGGACATCCCAGGGATACCCCAGGGGACACCGGGGACATCCCAGGGACAGTGGGACCACCCCAGGGGACACCAGGGACGTCCCACAGCCCAGGGGACACCAGGAACATCCCAGGGACACCCCAGGGGACACCGGGGACACCCCAGGGACACTGGGAATGTCCTACACTCCAGGGGACACCGGGGACATCCCAGGGACACTGGGGACAGCCCAGGGACATCCCAGGGGACACCGGGGACATCATGGGGACACTGGGAATGTCCCTACACTCCAAGGGACACCGGGAACAGCCTGGGGACACTCCAGGGGACACCGGGGACAGCTGAGGGGACACCAGGGACATCCTGGAGACACCGGGGACATCCCACAGCCCAGGGGACACCAGGGACATCCCAGGGACACTGGGACAACCCCAGGGGACACCAGGACTGTCCAACATCCCAGGGGACAGTGGGACCATCCCAGGGATCCCGGGAATGTCCCACATCCCAGGAGTGTCCCATATCCCTGGGGACAGTGGGACCATCCCAGGGACAGCGGGAATGTCCCACATCCCAGGAGTGTCCCATATCCCTGGGGACAGTGGGACCATCCCAGGGACAGCGGGAATGTCC